ACTGTCAGGACAACTCAGTCAAGAGTTGTTTTTGATCTCCTATGCATCAAACTGGTAGTAGGATGGCTCCCGGGTGGGTTATCCTAGTACTTGTTTGATTTGGAGGTCAATTAACGGAGGTCGGGAATGAGGTGATTGTGTTTGAACAATAGAGGGTTACTCCCGGGTGAGTAAACCCTACTACTTGTTCAGGTATGACTAATGGATGGTATGAGTAAAAGTTACGATCTATCTAACGTTAAGACATGGGAGGCTCCCGTGGGGTCATCCCGTTATTTTTCTGACTTCATTCTAACAAGTCAAGTAAGATACGCCAGCAAAGCGAGGATCTAGGGTTTGCCTGAGTCCACCAACATAAGCCTGGCTCGTCTGACTCTAAGAAAGTAATCGGGTGGCTCCTGTAGGGTCATCCTACTACACTTCTGAGGGAAAGACTGAGCTTTGATCAAAGAGTAATAGGAGGCTTCCGTGAAGACTGTCTGTTACTAACTTTAATTTTGTATTGACACATGGATCTGAAATATTTTCTGAATATTGGGTCAAGTGTTGAGACGGTTCAACATAGGCCTCCTAACTACCTGCTCAACTAAGGGATACTCCCGGGTGAGTTATCCTGTAACTTGCACTAGATTGCTTGAACTACTTGGTTGCAGGAGAACTGCATAAACCTTGAAGGGTGACTGGGTGCTCCCGTGGGGTGACTCGACTACTCTTCTGGCTAACAGATTGATTGAAATTGATCAAGTAGTGGAAGATTTCCGGGTGAATCAGCCCACTACTTGCGTATGCCAGGACAAAAAGAAGAGAAGGGGAAGAAGGGAGTGCTCCAACGGAAGCGACTCCAAAGGTCCTTTAAAAAAGAACGTCAAAGAAGGCGAATACCACGGGGAAAAGTAATTAGAGAAAGAAGACACCCAATGTAGCCACAATTCATTGGAGAAACCGCCACTGGCTTGAGTTGACCTCGACCAAGACTACAGCATAAAGCACCAAAGGGTGTGCTTATCCGCAAGAGAGAAAGCAAGGACTGAAAGGAAGGGAAATATGAGTTTCCCTAAAAAGACAACTTAAGACATAGGCAAGAGACTCCTTGAAACGAGTGGGAATGTTGAATCTTTGTTGACCTATGTGTGTGCAGGTCTTTGCTTTGGTCTACTGCAATTGAAGGAGAAGTCCTACATAAAGTACTCAATTTTCTGTTATCACTCGATAACAGGTCGGTCGTTGCCGATTCAACGTTTTCCTCCTTGACATGATACGTACATCTAAAATTAAACCATGTGGTCAGTAAAACTGTCGCCTGTGATCGGCGCCTAAATGGTCCTGGTCACTCTCAAGGGTCCTTTGAATAAATGTGAGGGGGTTGGGCTTGCATCTCAGGAAAGATAGAGCTGCCATGCATGGTTTGGGGAGTGAGGGATAATGTCAATGGTTGATGGTTGACGCCGTTAGTGCATGGCATGTGAACTGTCTTTGCATTATGTTGTGCAAGTCTGTTTTGTTCGTGAGTTTGAGATGGAACTGGACCTGGTCTGTTGAAGAGTTCTGGGCATTCAACACTTGTGAAAGTGGTAAGCGTTCCCAACGGTAATGCCTCGATATTCATTATCAGTCTTATATAACTTCTATATCATTTGATGTTCAGTCATACGTTGAGTAAAGTAGGATATCCTTTGGTAGCGACAAAGTTTATTTTGATACTTTGAACATAGTGGTCAGAAGGAGAGTGTGTCTTTGGAACAGAAGCAGGAATAGACGACTGTTTCAAAGTTCGACCTGAATATCTAACGGGTCAGTCCTAGGCGTCTTACCGCGCGTACCCCAATTTGTGCTACAGCGATCGAGCAAACGCCCTCGGCCGACCTACCTCAACTCAGGCATGTAAAAGCCTTTGCACGTAGGCCGGTAACTCAGCAGGGATACGCCTACATAAGGGTGATGACAGCCCCTTGGGTAGAGGTAAGTTGTACCTCGCGACGTCCCGACCTGTCGCAGGGTGTGGTGAGAGGTATAGCACGAGCGCATGTTGGAGTGGCGACTGATTCTTTTCAGACGAAACATCCTACATGACACGACCATGAGGTTCAGCGCTCCCTAGCGGAGTGCGAGACCGCCGCGCGCGACACCGCACAAGTCGCGGTTGCGTTTTGTTCATGCTGACTAAATGGTTAACTAGAAGTAGAGAGTGTGTAGGCACGCAGTTTTGAGGTGTGCGTGATGATTTTTATTTTGATGTTATAGAGTCGGCGTTTCCACCGGCAAAATTTTCATTTTGATTGAAGGGTTTTCTTCATGTTGAAGTGACCATGGTGCGTATGCGCTCATACTGAAGACGTCGTCAGGCAGTAATGTTGCTATTGGGCGGTGATTGGAGCATACGAGTGAGAATAGAACGCGAGCAGGGACCTCCATGCAGTGGATGCAGGAAGTTGACGACCATGGTCTTAGTTGACATGCCGAAGGAGTGATCTTGGAGTAGCGGATCCATATGCGTAGCAATACCAGTTTATGTGGGCTTTTGCTAGTGCCATTGCCTGCCTCGGGCATAGCACTATTAATTATGACATTGGACTTTCAACGCGGAGGTACAAGGATCGACGGCGGCAAGCGGCGACGATGGAGCGTTGGAGCGATTGAAGATACTGAGGGGTTGAGGGCCCGGCAGGCCTATCCCCCTTGGTTTTGTTGCCGGCCTATCCGTGGGCCCGGTCGACGGGACTGGAAGGGGCGCTGACGGTCTCGCTCCCCCAAAGCGCGAGTTCCCGATGCTCGCATTTTTATTTTTACTGTTATTTATCATTTTTTCTTTAGTTGTTTTAGTTGTTGGTCCCGTTTCTGGGACGCGACACCAGTATTTGTACTAGGGTCGTTTGCGGGGACCATCGGGTGTAGCTCAATTGATACACCCATGAACTTGTGAAACGCGGGCCGAGGAGTTCAACGTGCACGTCAGCCGATCGGTGATCGGCCCATGAGGCGGATGAAACCTGAGTGGCGGGGATGTTCCTCGAGTACACCATTTGCCAACCACGTTCTGCTGTAAGTGGTTTTCGTATGAGCATGCTGACGGGGCCCGTGAGGTGAGGGACCAGTCACACAGACTTCCCGAGGACCAAAAAGTATTATTTTGTGCGCCCTTTTGTCAGCAGCCTATGTAGCCACGGGGCATGGGGATTTGCGGTCACCGTGACATCTGGGGATGACTGCAGATACCCTATTTCATTTATTTATTTTTGGCATTATGTTCGAGAATTGGTAAAAATCCGTTCACAAGAATTCTTGCACAATTTGTGGATAGCGCCATGTGCCCAGCAAAGTACTAAACTGTTATTGCTACAGACGGCCAGGACTTTGTCCCCATCTGAAAAGGTACAGCAGTGTGACCTGAACCATGCCCAAAAACCTCGAATTTGTCGGTCCCAAAATCTGCTGCATTTTTGCAGATTTGGGGCCGCAGTGTGAGCATTCCCATTGGGACCAGAAGGTTAGTGAACTATGGTTGAGTAGGGCGTGGCCAGAGGGAATGCCAACAGAGGCTGCAGCAGCACTTCTGTGCAACTCTTTTGACGGGCTTGGGTAGTAGCGGGCTGGTTCAGAGGTTTTCCCTTGGGATAGTTGGAGTTGTGGAATAGTCTTGCTATGCAACTGTGAGACCATGCGTTGCAAGAGGTGGACTGCCGTGACCCCTGCGTCTGGCACCGGGCTGGTCAGGCAAAGGACTGGCCTAGCTTAGTTGGTACACCCACGCACTGTTGAAATACAGCCCGAGTTCGAATCCAAGTGTGGTCAGATGAATATCATTAAAAAAAAAAAAAAAACCATCCATTCAGAATTACCTGCAGCCGGCCATTTCGATGCTGGTATCTCAAACCACTACCCATGGCACAGTCCTTTCGGACATCCGTTAAAATTGGAACAATGCAGAGAAGATTAGCATGACCCCTGAGCAAGCATGACGAGTATAAGTCCAGGCCGGGCCTTGGTTAGCAGTTCTTGACAGCCCGAACTGCTATCAGACCGTGAGCGGTAGGGGTGTGTTGTATTCGGGAGGAAGAAGATGACCTGGGCGACAAAGATGATGAAGGTGAAGCGGTGAGGGGAAGAAGGCATAGCTCGCCCATTCCTTAAGGGAATCGGGCGAAGTAAGACTTGAAATTGGGGTTTCTTGGTGAGGCGAAGCTGATGGCGGAGTCAGATTCCACGTAGGATGGACGTTTTAGGCGGTATCTATGGTATGGGCTGCGCGGTTAGTAACCGAGGTGAAGTGGGAAAAAGTGTATATCCCGCTCGTTTGTTGATGGATTTCCACGATTAGAGATTCTATTTTGGGGTTTTTACACACTGCGAGTTGAATGGCAGACTCAGAATCGCCCCTAATGGGCTGGTTTGAGCGGCATGAGCATTAAGGGCTGCGCCCAGGAGTAAAATTTTGAAGTATAGATAGGTGATGTATCTTCCCATGTTTTGGGGAAGATTCAGTCTTTTTTTTTTTTTTTTTCCAAAGGTTATAGGGCCTCGTTCGACACCACTAGAAAACCTTTACTTTGTAAGGGCGCCCTTACGACAAAAATGTGATTTCCCTTACTCCGATTTTCGTTCCACAACCACTTACGAAAACCCTACACTTTATCGCACTTACATTTCAGGTGCCCCCATTCGCGCCTTGCGTGGCCGAGAATTGAATGTGAGTGTCCGACCCAGTGTTGCGGCGGACAAAATCGTGTCCGCCTGCCTTGGGCCCGTTGGAAACCCGGGCCTGCCATTTCCCCAAGGCGGGCGTGGGCCTATCGCGGGCGTGCAACGTCGGTCGGCCGTGGAGGTTTAAGCGCGCTAGGACCCTGAACATACGAATTCAAATTCCACGCCCGCCAGTTCCCTTCGCGCTCATCGCTTTCTGGACTCCCCACCGTCGCGTTTCCTGTAGTGTATTCGCCAGTCGTCCATCGTTGAGCGTGCGCACGTGGCTTCGCGTGTCGCTGTCGTGTGCGTTTTGTGCGCAGCGTAGTCTAGCTATTGACAACAGTGGGCGCGATCCATAGGCGGCGAGGAGATTGTCAACCAGTGAGAAGAGCATGGTCGCCAGTGCTGTCCTCGTTGTGTGCCGGTACATGGAGACGGTGAACGGGTTGCGGCGTGCGGGTGGGAGGGGGAGGGGGAGGAGGGAGGCCGCCATAGCCTAGGCAATGGCAGACGTCTGTACATCGTCCGGTCTATCAGATGCTCCTTTCCTGTTGTCCAACGCAATTGTTGCTGGTGTTCTGCTCAGGGACTCACCGCGATGGTGGATGAAAAGACGAACGGGCGGGACGTGGCGAGACTTGGACATTGTAGACGACGCGATGGATGAATATTTCCATGACAAGCTTCGAATGTCGAGGGCCATATTCGGGGACATTGTTGCAGCTTGCAGTCCATTCATCGACCGTAGGCTGACGCACTACCGCGAGCCCTTGCAGACAGACCTTATCGTCGCCTTCGCGTTATACCGGTTGGCCACGGGGGAGACGTTTGAGAATGCTTCGTCGAGCTTTGGCATCGGCAGGTCGTTCGGGGTGACGGCCGTCATGGACGTCGCCAACGCAATACTGGCTGCATATCCAGACAAAGTCGCCATGCTGTCCGGTCGTCGGCTGCTGCAAGTGACCCGAGCATTCGGAGCAAAGGGTTTCCCTAATTGTTTCGGCGCAATCGATTGCACGCACGTGTACGTGGACAAGCCCGCCAACGCACCATCCGAGAACTACTTCGATCGAAAACATCAGTTCTCGGTCGTCGCCCAAGTTGTCGTCGACCTCGACATGAGAATTCTCGATGTGTTCATGGGCCACCCGGGGAGCGTCCATGACCAGCAGGTTTTGAGAAATTCTTCACTCTTTCGACGTGCGGATGTGGGCGAGCTCTTCGTCTCGGAACTTGTTCTGCTGCCAGGGGGGGTGTCCACAACAGAGTACCTGCTTGGGGACAATGGCTACTCGCCGAGAACGTGGATGGTGGTCCCCTACGGGGGGACAGACCAAGCAGGGGACATCGGATTGTTTGACACGCGGCAGAAGACGACGAGAGGAGTCGTGGAGAGGGCTTTCGGGCGTTTGAAGGGGATATGGAGGTTGTTCCTTCGCCATCACAAGACTAACATGGATAATCTGCCTCAACAATTTTTGGCTGTTTGTATTATCCACAACTTGTTGCTTGAGGCGGGCATACCGTTTGACAACTCGGTCCTGCTCGAGCCGGACGAGAACGGCAATCTGGTTCGTGTCGATCTGGGGTTGCAAGATCCGCCACGACCAGTGTCGCAATCGGGCGCAACCGACGCTGCCGTGGCTTTACGTGACGGGTTACGTGTGCGAATGATGAACTGAATCTTTGGGTGTGCGGACGACGGTCATGTTCGGTATCTATGGGTGTGTCGATTACAGGGTTTACTGCTTTAGACGGCGCCAGTTCCCTTTTTTGGCGCGTGTGGTCGTCAGCGGGGGGAATGGCCCGATCATGCATCGCTAAATCGGCGTGTTTATGTGATGACAATTCGTTGATTTTATCTCCCGCGTTCATGTTCTAGTTTTTTATATAAGTGAACATTTTGTGTCTTCCTTTCAAAAACTCATCATCCTTTCTTATCCTATTGATATTCCGCGTGGACGGTAAATGTATTTCAATCTGTGTCTTTTTTTCCCAAAAGATAACAACTATGTGTGTTCATTTGCTTTCTCAGTTTTACAATCGTTCATGGGTGAGGCGAAGCAGACAACAGAAGTTTGTTGCACATGAGCTTTGTTTGTGTTCGGCACAGTACAGAACCCGAATGTAATCGACATCCGCACACCCACTAGCGACAAAAAATAGCCACGCAAAAGCACATACTCTCTTCACAATCTGAAATCCACACTTTGTAGGAAAACAGAGGGCAAAAGACACAAACCAGCCAACACAATTGAACCCTAAAAGTGCATGCGAACTTAAAAAAACGTGATGAACAACTCCACCACCACCTCACAAACCCTAAATGTGCCATGCGCATGTGTTACCACCTCCCCCACCATGTCAGTTCCAATGTGAGCCATGTTCGTGCCGCATGCCAACAGAAGTACACGGGGAAACGTCTCTCCACAACATTCGACGAACAGGAACACGCAGTCGTTGTCCATCGTAAACGAAGAAGATAAGCAAAACAAAAAAGATAAGGGCGTCATCCATTAGGAACATAATTTGTCTCTCTCTCTCTCTCTCTCTCTCTCTCTCTCTCTCTCTCTCTCTCTCTCTCT